CTGACTTGATGTTCAGCTTGTGAAATCAGAAACTCTAGTATCTTAGTGTCTCCATCCCACAAGCTCCTTCTTTTCAGGTTGCAAACTGAGGTTTTCATTGTAATCTTCAACACAAGAGATCGCCAAGCTTCAGGTTTGGCAGGTGACTTCATAGCCCTCTCAATCAAGAAAATAGAGGTCACCAGGGTCTTTTTTTGTCCTATCCCCTCTCTCCCTACAAACTTTTCTGTATTTATCCAGGCATCCAATAAATCTTCTTAAGCATCTGCTGTGTCTGGGTACTTTGCTAGGTCCTCATATATGGTACATGTAGCAGATCCTCACTTTTTTGGCACTGTCATTTTTGTGGGAGAAAACAGACAACAAGCAAGCATAAGTATATTATAAAATGTATGATAAAAAATGAATAGGGTAGAATGATGGAAGGAAAATCACGTTGAATGGGGCACTTAGGGAAGTTTGGAGAGAAGGCCTCCTTGTGGCAGTGACTAATGTCTCCAGCTGTGTCCTGAGTCACAATGCCTCCCTTTCCTCGGGAATCTCACTCCCTTCTCTCATTTTATCTGCAGTCTCTCCCTAGGGGCTCTTTTCTTTTTTGGCAGTATTTTTTAAATGCCTTCACCTCCCTTGTTCCTGCATTCCGCAACTCGCCTGTAGTGACCACGACATCTCCCCAGGCTTCTTATGCTGGTCTTCCCTTCCTGCTCTGCTCTCTGCCAGCTGGCCAGGGTCTCCCCAGAGTAGCAGACCCCGTGATTTCCTGAGCAAGCCATCTTCTGGTTACTCACCAGACCTCTCTGTGGCGTTTGATGAGGCTCTTTCGGTCTTTTCTGATACTTTCTTCCTCCCTGGTTGCCATCTTCTGGTTTTCCTCCTTCCTCCCTGGCATCTCTGCTACCTCCTGGGATTTGCTAGGTTCTGTTCTCACCCCCATTCTGTTCTCTGTGGAGTCTTTGGGTGAATTACGTTTCCAAAGCTTTCACTATTGCCACCGTGAAGCGAGTCCCAGATTGGCGTCCCCCTTAAGAGCATTCTCCTGTGTTCCAACTGGTTACAAGTGTATGTTTCCATGTCCTTTAAGCAAGAAAACCCACGAGAAGTCTAGAACTGATTTTAGTTTTCACTGCCCACGTCATATCCGCTTCATTGTTACCAGAGATTTGTCTCTGGGTTTCTTTTTTTTTTTTGGCAGTGGCTCCATCATCCACCGAGGTGTTAGAGCAGGAGCTTCACTTTGGTGCTGGGCTCCTGCACGCCCCAGCATGCAGACAGTTGCCAACTCCTGTTGCTTCTCTCGCTGTGAACCCCTGCAAAACTCCGCCATAGTCATGCAGAGGCCAGAGTGGTAAAATGCAGTGGCCAGTGTGTGACTTCCAGCTGGCAGATGTGTTGTTGGCTGAACGAAGTATACAAAAATTGAGGTAATATTTAGGAATCTGGAGCTGTCACCTGGATTAATAGTTTCTCTTAAAAGTTAGAAGACCTGGAATAAGAGGCATACATTCCCATGTGGCCACACTCACCGGTGCTGAGTTTCCAGTACCTGTCTACACTGGAGGCTGGGTGCTTTCTGGTTCCCCCTGGACCTGTGGCCCTCATTTACATTAGCTTCTGGCTCCCACGGACTTTGGAACTAGTGACCGTAGGCTGAGACCACCATTGGCCTGGGAATCTCTAGTAGCTTACTGCGTGGTTTCCTGTGCCTGCTTTTGCTTCCCTTCTAACTGCCTTTCACATTATTGCTGGTGTGACTTCAGCCCCCCACATTCAAATCTGCTTGTGTCCTTCCCCATAAAAATGCAGTACCTCTCTCTTGATTTGGGGATAAACCTCCTTCTTGATGTGGTGATGTCACATCACAGGTTGGGAACCCCAGATTGAAAGGTGAGCGCTCTGTTATCTCCATACCATGTTGCACCTGAGTGTCTCAAGATGCTTTTGAACTTTGTAGGGTGGTTAGTACAGAATTCTAGTGCTCCTCACCTGCGTCAAGACTGCAGCCTCTGCTGCTTACAAACCATTTCCACAGACCTCACCACCACCACTTCCTCACACCCCCTGGGTGGAGATGGGGCTCGGTTGGGTCCACATTGCACACAGCAGTGGGGAGTCTGTAAATAGGGAGGGCACGGGCTGCCCCAGCAGCCCTCAGCCCTTGGGACATGGTGGGCCCTGTTTCACTCGTGAGACCAAGAGTCACACAGCGTTTTTCCAAAGTCACGCTGCTGCCTTTGGACACTCCGGGCCCAGAACTTCGTGCAACTGTTAGCACAAAGCCGGGGAACTTTCCAGTGTTCCACGGGCTCACCAGCCTGCTGGCCATTTGTAATGACCTGACAAAGTCAAAGCTTTCTTCAACCCCTTCCTACCTCCCATCTTTGTCTCCTTTCTGAAACTTTATTTTCCTGCAAACTGAGCTTCCTGTAGACTCTGTGTACCATGTGCTACCCAGTGCCTCCTTGCCCTTGCTCCTGCCTCTGCCTGCATTTGTCTCTCTCCCACTGCGTTCATTGTCTAGCTCATTTTCCCTTTTGCAAGACTAGTGTCACCTGTTCTGAAAAGTCCTTCCTGACAATCACTACCCCCAGCCCTCTGGGGCACAGGTGCCGTGTGCACATGCGTGTACCGCCTACCCTGTGCATGCCTCTGTGATGGCAGTTTGTGTGTTACAGCAACATGCTCTACCCACTGGACTCTGAGCTTCATGAAGACGTGACTGTGTTTTAGTCTTATTTGCACCAGCAACAATGTTTGACCCAAAGGCATTTAACAGATATTTGAACTAAACCACGTCTGCATTAGTTATTGCATGCTTTATGGAAGAGTGCATATATTTCAGGCTTAAAGGGGAGGTATCTCCCCAGACCTCTACATCTGGTTTGGGTACTTCCAAGTTTAATGTATGTATCCATACTTTAAAATTTTTTGATCAACCCTGTCTTTTGATATAGCTCATTACTTAAAAAAAAAAGCAGAAGTCTAATACAGAAATGCTTCTGTGCTTGTGTTCACTTCAGTTATCCTTATCTGAGTCTTTTTTTGGCATGGTTCTGTCTTCCTTGAAGTCTGTTGGCTTGGCTGCAATCTGCATTTCACGGTGTGTACAAAGTAGGATGCTTTTTGGTTTTATTTCCATTAACCTTCTTGGGGATAATGAGACCTGACCTCTTGGTAACCCCTTTTAAGTTTGTTTGTTTGTTTGTTTTTTCCCCATGGTAGTTTTTCAGCTAATATCTTCAGCTACATTTGGTGGAAAGAGTAGGCTGAAATAGGGCGCCACCAGCAATCATAGTTAACCATCTAGAACTCAGTTTCCTTGTCTATACAATGGGTATGTTGAAATAAAGGATCTCAAAGTGTCTTATTTTTAAAAACCTATAATTTCTTAGGTAACTTTCTGATCCATTTTTCTCATAAGTGTCAAGTCCTGATGAGGTTTTTTTTCTTAAATGCATTATTATGTGCCTTTGTACTGTGAGATTCTGTCTCTCTCTCATTTTAAAGCCTGTAAAATCATTCAGTGTTAGTACTCAGAGCACTGTGGGCCAATATGAAGATTTAGTTTGTACTCCCACTTAGAGGCATTTCTAAAAATGTTAAATAAAATGGGTCCCATCTACTTGAATCTTCTTTGTAAACTTGTTCTCCACTCATAAATGTGCCCATCTTCTCTTCCCAAACCATCTCTCCTCATGAATAGATTGCATGCCTGATCTGAAAGTCAATGTTGGGTTTTAAAAAAATACTCTTAGGTACAGAATGGAGTCAAAAAAATACTCTTAGGTGCAGAATGGAGTCAAAGGCAATAAACTACATCTTTAGGTTATTTCTTATCTCTAAGTTCCCAATTTGTCTAAGAACATGAAAAGATTAGTACTATTTTATTTCTTTTTTGAGAAGCGCTACCTTTCATCCAACGGGCCAAGTCTATTTCCATGGTCAGTGAGTCTTGTCTTTATTCTGCCGTTAGATTTCTGGGGCTGGCAGTAAGCCCAGTCCAGAGAAGTTGGCATCCCCTCTGGGTTTCTTTTTTATGCATGGGATGGCCACTGGGTCTGAGCAATGCTCTGAGTATTTGTAATTTCGTTTGTGTGTTTTGACAAATACGTCCCCTGTTTCATCCTTGGGACCCTCTGGAGGTTGAGGTGGACACCCTAGTTCAAGACCAGATTGGAAATACCCGGGCTTCTGCTAGTTCAACTGCAGACTTCGCTCTTTGCTTCAGAAGATCATTTGAGAGTCAGAATCCACTGGGCCTTTCCATTTCTATCAGTTAATTTTTAGGAGAAAGATAATATGGAGGAGATATTTAATGTAAAAGAAAAACTATCCTGTGAAGAGGCAGAAAGGATTTCTTGCAGTGGCTGCAAATCTTGGTAAATACACTTTGCTTTTGTAACCCCCCAACACCCCGGTGAGAACTCCGGTAACCTGGGGAATTTCTCTTGAGAGCATACCAAAAATAGCATCAGTGCCATCTCCCCCGCTTTCTCCCTCTGGGTAGTGCCAGAAAATATGGCTATTATAGAAAAAAATAACCACTTGTTTTTATCCTAAGGTTTCATGGACCAGATCTCGAAAGTGGGTGTGGGTATGTGAGAAAGTTTAGTGCCAAATAGGAAGCCCACTCGAAACGAATAAGGTGACTACAAATAAAAATAGATAGCTCTTTCTTTCTTTGGGGAAAGTGCTATATAAATAATGGCAATGTTTGCTTCGTCTACTAAGATCCCTTTTTCTCCTGCATTTTTAAAATAAGAAATCCACTTAAGAGGAAATTACTTTTATGGAGGATTTGGTCACTGTTCAGATTATAAGATTATAAGAACTATTAACTGCTGTGTTATCTTTTGCTTACTAGTGCAGAAACCCAAATCAAAATAACTCAGACAAAAAGCAGGGAGAGCTGTTGGCTTACATTGCCCACCCCCAGGCATGGCAGAGGTGGCTCTGGCCAAAGACTGGGGGCCTTGAGGCTCTCTTCTGTCCCTGCTGGTCTCTTATCTCTGCTTCTCTCTGCTGACTGCCATGACTGCAGGTAGCTCCAGCCTCCTAAGCTGAGAGGAAGGAGAGGCTTCCCTGCCAGTTCTAGTTGGGAGAATCCTAGGGAGGAAGGAATTCTGATTGGCTCAGTTTGGGTCACATGCCCTTCCTGCTACCAGTGGCTATGGTTGGGTGATTGGGGTGCTATGATTGGCTGAGGCAGAGTCACATGTTCAGCACTGTGGTCAGCAGGGAGGGTGTATTGAGAAGGGTGTCCTGGGCAGGCAAGTTATCCAACCGCCACTAGTTTCCAGTTTTCCATTGACAGAGGCTCTGTGTGGTCTCCTTGAGCCTCATGCCTGCCTCTGGCATAAATATTAATATCATCCCCACTAGCACAGCTGGGAAGGAAGTGTGTAGAGGAACCAAAGTGTCCACGGTCCTACAGCCTGTATGTGCCCGTCACAGGGCCTGGGAGTGTCGATGCCAGAGCCTGGAGCCAGGTCTGTAAACGTGTGACTGTGAGCTGGTACCATGGATTGTCAGAGCTTTATATCCCATCAATATTTATACCTTCTCAGAAAGAAATTCCTGTCAAACCACACACCTTCCTTCAGTCGCACCACCAAAACACACAAGATGGAAGAGGCCAGTCTTTTTGCGTCGTATCTGGAGTAATATTTTTATGCCTTTTGCACCCTCCTCCCTGATTTGTTCCTTAGACACCTTTTTCTGGGATTGAAGTCTAAAATTAGTACTGACCTTTGGAGTGAGAAGGTAGAGTGCATTTATGCCGAGTTCAAGGGAATGACAGGCTAGCTGAATAAAACTCGATAGAACCAAAGAACAGGTGTGGAATCGTTTTTAAATGATGCCTAATTGAACTTTGTTTAGGATTTAGCATTTCTTTTTCTAAAGTTTATAGTATTACCTTTATTTCGAAATATGTCACTTCCAAATAGTAGTGATTTCCTTCTTCTCCGTAGAATAGTAGTAATTAAGATTTGGAGGCCAGCTGGGTTTGGTTTGAATTTAGAGTCTGTCGGTTTACAAGTTGCAGGCCGTGACCCATAGCTCAATTTCTTAACTTCTCCAAGCTCCAGTTTCTTCATCTGTGAGTTAGGCATAAAGGTAGCCACCCTGTAAGTGTTGTAAGGATGAAAAGGAAGGTATACCTTAGGTGCTGAGCACAGTGGCAGGAATGGAGCTGACTTTGGGGACACAAAGTGGCCGGGGTGCTGGGTTTTATTTGTCACAGTAGTACAGGTGGGTACTTCTCAAGACTCGCATTTTCATTGTGTCTCTGACCGGGTGAATGAGCGGCTTGCTGTGTGTGTTTGCATGCTTTGTTTCTGTACCCCTTTCCGGTAACACTCTCAGTGGGCGCTACTTCCCCGCGATCAGCTGGTCATCTGTCCTTCCTGCAGGCTTTAGGCTCTTGTGCACTGGCCACCAAGCAGAGGATGGCTGATGCATGAAATAACCTACCTCCAATGCCAGCCTTGCATTTGGGAGGAAATGCAAACAGCCATGTTACCAGGAGGTTTTTATAAGGGCAAATTGCGGGTACCCCTGTTATAGTGGGTGCTTTTTCCCCTCTAGGTTGGTTATGAAGAATGAATAAATGTCTAAATAGTAGGAAGAATAACCTATTTCTTCAGTTCCCAACTCCCAAGCCACAGCCCTGTACCAGTTGGCAACCTGTTAAGACACACACACACACACACACACACACACACACACACACACACACACACACAATATGTCCATTGAAAAATTGTCTTCCGTGATCCCTAGTGCCAAAAAAGTTGGGGAATGCTGGTTTGGTTTAGTATTTAGGTCTTTGCCTGGGTAACATCCGGAGACTTCTCTTTTCATTCTTTTTTTCTTCAGATTGTAAGAAAGTCATTCTATTATGTCTGATAATGTCCAGATACCCAAAAATAACCATTTTAAACACTTGCTGAATGTATTTAAAACACATGGTCATTTAATTGTGTTTTTATTCCCTCAATATACAAAAGAGTTCTAAGAATGTTGGATTAACTTTAGCAAACATTCCCAGATAAGAAATGTGTTTTCTGCTGCCACTGATATGATTTGGGGGGATTTTTCTGGCATATACTCACTCGAGACTCTATACAGCAATCTGAATGTATGCCCACACCTGAACTGTTGCTCTGTGAGATGGGAGATGCCGGGGAGATTCTGTGTGATGACTTTATTTTAAAGAGAGTTTTCTTTCTGAACATGTGCATTTTCTCTCTGAAATTAATTTACTAAAAGGCTCATATCATCTTATGCCAAATCTGTGTTAATTTCTAATGACATGTTAGTTAAGATAGCAATTTGGAGGATTGGCTGAAGATGCCAAAATATTCATAATGAACCTGTTCTTGCACAGCAAGGTGGTAAATCATGAATATCAAAGTGCTGATCATACTAATGTGAATTAATTTAGCATAATTGAAAGTATGGAGGCAGAGTTGTTCCCATGTATATATATCACTTAATAGCCTAAAGTTTCTTTGCATAGGATAAGCACATTTTTTATATGTATAGTGGCAAAATTATGTTTTGTTTTGTTTTATTTAGTCTCTGTCACCCTGGATAGAGTGCAATGGCATCATCATAGCTCATGGCAACCTCAAACTCCTGGGCTCAAGCAATCCTCTTACTTTAGCCTCCCTGATAGCTGTGACTACAGGCACATGCCACCACACACCTGGCTAATTTTCTATTTTTAGTAGAGATGGGATCTTGCTCTTGCTCAGGCTGGTCTCGACCTCCTGAGCTCAAGTGGTCCTCCCGCCTCGGCCTCCCAGAGTGCTAGGATTACAGGCATGAGCCACCACATCTGGCCAAAATTATGCTTTGGTACTGCTCTCTCTCTACCTTGTGTTCTAGTTGTGCATGTGTCTTACCTGGCCCATTAGGAACCTTCAAGTCTATCTTATTCTTTCAGGCTCCTTCTACCATACCTCGCACAGAGGTGCCCAAAAGATGCTTTAAAGGGGAGAGAAAGAAATGAAAAATTATGAATCATCAATATGTCAAGTACTGTTAGGCATATTTTATACATGATCTTGTTGAATCCTAACAACTGTCATAAGGTAGACATTAGTCCTAGTTTATAGGTGAGAAAGCTGAGATTCAAGGTGTAGAACAACCTGCTCAGATTCCCACGGGCGGGATATGGACTCCAGGTCTATATGACTCCATGGTGGACATTTCAGTTCTGAAACATTATCTTCAATGAATGACTGAGGCTGAGCAACAACGCAAGACCCCACAGATTAAAGGTCAGAACATTGTTGGACAGAGGATGAGTTTCACAGTCAAATGAACTTGGGTTTAACCCCAGCTCCACACTTAGTAGTTGTTTGGCCTTAGGTGAAATACTCCCCTCTCTGGGCTCCATTTCCATAGCGAGAGAATAGAGGTGGTGAGGACATGACCCTCCTTGCAGACCAAAAGCGTACTGTCCCTGACTCCCAGGCAGGGAAATAGCAAATGCAGTGACTTAAGTCACATGTCAAGGTCGGAGCTGTGGCAGGTTGAGAATTCCTGTCTCTGAGGGCTATCACCTGTGCCAAGTCTGGGTGCAGTGTGGCAGCAGAACTGCCATCACCTGCCACTCACCCCTGATTAGCCCACAGAGGACCCCACTAACTCGGTGACCCTCACCACCCATCCCCTTGAGCCACGTGGCTGATTCATGTCTCCTTTCTCTGTCATATTTTCTCCTTTCACTCCCATGTTCTTAAGGAAGATTCTTACCAGAGAGGAGAAGGATTCCCACAAGACTTGCTCTTCATGTAACTGCCCCTCGGGACTTCAAAGGAACTGAAGGTCACAGCCCTATTGTATTCGGGTGGCAGGCAGCTCAGAGCTAGCCTTGGAGAACTTAACTCTGCAGTAGGTTCCTGGAGGGGCACAGAAATACCAACAAAACAGGTCAACCTTGGAGGGGCTTGTCTATTTAGGTAGAAAGGGCATTTCTGTGATACTCTAACAAATTCAAGGCAGTCTAGACCAGTAGCACACTGTCGTGGGGAAGGGAGGCAATCAGGGTGCATTGTCTGTAGAGGATTTAAATGCAATAATGAAATTGCCTCAGTTTACTCTGGATTATCATCATGCACCATGGTGATAAAATATTTCTCCACTGGAGCCAACCAGTTCTACCACTCCCACCCTGTCCCTAATTCCTGTACGAGGTCAATAATCAGCTGCCTAAATGAGCGATACTAATGAGGTGTTTGGGAGGTCGAGCTGGCAGTGGTCGGTGGGGACTGAATTATCGGGGAAGGCTGCGCAGGAGTCCTCTCCCCGCCGTCTTGGTTATGACAGGACACCTGGCGAGCAGTCTGTGACCCTGAGGGCTGGAGCTGATGCCCGAGTGCGCCGTGGCCCGGGAAGGTGCTTTCTGTGCATTGCCATGCCGACTCCTCTCTCGGCCCGAGACAGTTCTGTAGGTGAGGAACGTGGGCAAGCGACAGGACGTCTCCAGGTCTCGCTGTCCTCCTGTGTGAGCTGAGGGTAGTAACGCCCAGTTTCCACGTGGCTGGCAGGAGGCTCAGCAGTGCTAATGCCAAGCCCTGCACAGAGAGAAGTGACTTAAATGTCAGTCACTACTCATGATGACATGCACGAGAGGTCAGTCTCTGTGTACAGACGTGAATGTCTAGATAACCCTCATGGGTGATCCGGTCCTCATTGTTTTCTTTTACTTTATTCTCCACAAAATCTTTTTTTTACCCCTAAACTTTGCAGAATTGGCATTTATTGATTTGTATCAGCTAAGAGTTGGGTGTTTGGTCTCTCACGTGCTCTCTGTGGCTGGATAAGAGCAGATAACTCCTTCACAAAGGAGAGATTAGTTCCCTTAAAAAGAAGCTGAAAGTTTTAATGGACAGCCGTGGAAAGGTGTGAAGCATTACTCACATGTAACTTTTCCTTTCATTAAATACTCATGACCACGAGACATGGGAATGCGCAATGCTGCTTTACGGCCCGGTCTCTTCGGGGCCGAGCATGCAAACTGAAAATGGCGCCTTAATAAATCATTAAAAGGCACTGAAATGTAGAATTTTTTCTATGAAAAAGACTCTCCCAGTTCAAAAATTGGGTACCTAGATAGGAAGCAAAACATTTCCTCAAAATGTTTCCTTGGAGAAGAAGGGAGTTGCTGTCTGTTAGGGTCCTTACACAGTCTTTGCTCTTACAAGATTCTGATGGGTTCCCCAGTCAAGAGTTCACACAACGGCCTGGAGGGAAGGGGCTTCCGAGTGGCTGGCTGAGAACAGATGGGAGGGCTCATTAGCTTGCAGTTCCCTCAGTCAGTATTTCCCTAGGAATGCTCGTTGAGGTTGCATGGTGAAAGGGGGTTAAATTAAAAAAGAGAGAAGCAAAGAAATTGAATATGAATTTAGTAACTACTCCTGAGGTCATGACTTCACAACTGCCAAATGCCGAACGTGGCATCAGTTAGGGCAATGCT